GCAGAAATTAAGGGCCAGGCTCTGTTTAACATTTAGATTGAATTATGAGCTAGACACCAGCAACTCCCTATGCTGCATGCTACTGTTTGCAAAGTTGGCTGAAACACTGTCAAATAGTGAAATAGTTCCAAATAAGATTTTTTTTTTTCTGTGTATCATTGATCCTCGTGTTGCAACAGAAAAATGCTTTTATTTTTTCAGGTTTAATATTGGTGCCAGTGCATTCACTGAATTCATGCCTATGGGGCTGTGCTGGGTGTGTGTAAGAGGCACCAGTGAGCCTCTCTCTGGTGTGAGTTCTTTTAGAATTTATTAGCTAATAGTTATTTTTAGGGATCACTAAAATGAAGTTATAAACAGCTGGTGAGCTGAGACCTTTAGCTTAGTGTTCAGGCTCCCTTGTATTGCACTTCTCCTCCTCCTCCTCCAACCAGCTGCTTTTCTTGGGCATCTGCTTCACTCTGACATGTAGCTCCTGAAGGAGGAAGATCAGAGCTTCACTCCATGCCTCCAGATATGCCATTCATTGGGGCTGTAACCTTCAGCTGAAGTTTCTAGCTGCAACAGAACAAGCTTACAAAATTAGCACAATACAGTAATTCAAGGTGGAAGCATTAGGGCTGATTCAATAGCTGCAACTGCTCTAATTCCTGCCTCTAAACAGGTGGGTTTACGTAAAAATAGCTTTAAAAGACATTGTAGGCTGAGTCGTTTTTAAGCTGTTTCTGAACTTATTCCAGAATCTCTGAACCTTTTTCTTTTCTTTGCAAAGCTGTAACTAGAAATGCTAAAAGTCAGCTTTGTCAATCTATGTGGAGTTGCTATTGTCCCTGATTCTTTTTTCTTTTTTTTTTTGACCTATGCCAAGTTTTTTCAGAGGGAAATGTTTTATCCCTTCCTTTTAAGGTACTAGAAACTGAAATTGTGCAAATGCTATTCAAATGTGCAGACGATCTAAGTGTAGATAGAGTTCAGAATTTTGGCTTTGGAGCCCTTCTCAAGCTGGGGCTGAGACAGGCCAGCAAGAGCACTTTGAGATTTTGCAGCAATTCTGTCAGTGTTCTGTCATTCTATTATTATTTTTAATCACTTATTTTTATTTTGATTTGTCAAAAGTTTAATTTTGTCTGAGAACCTGATTTCAAGCTGCCTGTAATTGTGTTGCAAATAAGAAACAATGATAGTAAAATAATCACATCCATAATCTGATCTAGCTTTTGCCATAGTTTCTCATATAAATCTCCTTAGCACTTTCCCCATTGTGATAGTGTTTATGATGAAAAATAGAAGATCTCTTTTCTTCCTACAAAATTATGCATCCTGTGGAGCAATTAATCTGGTTAAGGAACTAAGGCTGGTTTGTTCTGCTCTCCATTCTCCCAACAATTTCTGACCTACACAGAAATCTCTGCAGTGGGAGCAATAAATTTGAAATGAATGACAGACACTAATTATTTGTGACCTCATTGTCATCTGCAGCATGGAACAGTCTAGGACCATTCCCAGTGTATCAGCTGCAGATATTTTTAGTCTAGAAAATTTAAAGAAAAGACAGCTTTAAAAATAGCTGCTCACTGGGCATCCCCTTTCTGCACATCCCCATTTCAGAGCTGGCCCCATGATCTCAGTCCTTGGCTCTGGCTGTGTGCCTTGCCCTCATTGGTTCTGATTCCATGGAAAAACGGGTGTGAGTTAGGACTGCAGGTGAGTAACACAAAGATAAGACAAGGAGGTGGAAGTCTGCAATAAGCTGCAAAACAAGAAGGAAACAGAAAAGTGCTCTCAGATGAGAGCCTGGAGGATGTGCTGGAAGGTGTTCACCAGCAGCTCTGCTTCAGCCAACTGGGGGATGCTCATCCCATCACCTGTCCCCTGATCCCATCTCTTAATACCAACCTATTTTTGTGAAGATGCTGCTGAACTTGCTGAACTGAAACTCCTTTTCTGTATTTGGGGGGTGGGGTTTGTTTGTTTTTTTGGTTATTTTTTTTAAAGGCTGACCAGTGCAATAACTATGGATTTGGGGGTTAGCAGGTCATCATCTTGACTTAGAGAGTGATGGGAGAAGGCTCTCTGTTGTGGAGACAATTGCTGAAGCAACAGCAAATCAACTTTGAGATGGAAAATGCAATGCAAATATGTGAGACACAGTCTGGCTAACCAACCATGCATTGAGGAACATTGCCTGTAATTG